CTGCAGTTGTCTGAGGACGATGGGGACGTTTACGGACGCATCGATCAAGTTCGTCCCATTGATGCTGGATCGGGTTCAGATCAGGTGATTTGGAAGGCCAGGGAAGGACATTGACTCTTGCATTGGCGAGATAGGCAGTTGACAGGATTCAAACATAGGAATCGTCATAGGAATGCTGTCAAAATATTTCGAAATGAACTGCTGAAAACGAATATGCGTTCCCTTTTTGTGAAGAGTATACAACGACTGCTTTTGTACTATGCTGCCTGTTCTGAAGACATTTAGGTTTTTCATTTAAAGCTGCTAGCTCAATCATACCCGGTGATGAATGCACATGAAATGCGAAATAGGTTTACATATATAAGACGGTGGTCAACGATAAACCGGCGCATTTTCTCTTTTATCCTATTCGTTCGTGCTGTTCGTTTCATTTTAGGCATTGTTAGACTTATCGGTTCATTTGCTCGTGTGGCGTTTAGATTGTTAAATTGTTGAACTTTCTGTTGGAATATGGTAGTGTTTAGAGGTTTCACAATCAGAAGTATTTAGAGGTTCATTCAAATTCATTTTCTTTATTTCTTCACTTTAAGAGAATCACGTTTAGTTCATTGTAAATCATCCATAGTTTTCTCACTAAAAAAAGTTATCACGTTTAGTTCCTTGTTTAGGCCAAAGGTAAGTTTCAAATTTTTAGTTGATTAGGTTTTCTGTTACATTGCACCATTCAGTTACATCTGCACCATTGTTTATTTCCACTGCGCAACACCTGTGAAGATCCGGGGTAGAATAGGTCTTCAGCAACCCATGCTTGCCACAAAAGGCGACTATGCTTGTCGTAAGAGGCGACTAACGGGATCGGGCTATAGTGACGGTCAGGCTCGCTGACTTGGTTGACACATGTCATCGGTTCCCATTTGCGTAGATCGATGCTCATGCTGTTGATCACTGGATTGTCTGGTCCAGACTCGATTATTTACAGACCGCCGCCATATCGCTGGAATATTGCTGAGTGCAGCGTAAAACTAAACTCACTCACTCCACTGCGCAACCCAGCCTTTGTATTTGTCTGCCTCTCTATGCTATATTGTACTCCAACATGTGTGCGGCGTAAAACTAAATTCACTCACTTGTACTGCCACTGGAATACATTAGAAACGATTTGTATTAGTTTGTAATATTAGTTAAATTTGGAGCACAATCATAAATACATCCGCAAGTCCACAAACATTCAAAGTAAATTCAAACTTTCCACTATTTTTAATAGTAGTATATGTGTTTTTTTAACAGTATGGCTACATGTGTCTACATTGCTAACGGCTGAGGGGATGGTGTAAATCCAGCTAGGGTCCATGCAGGAAGCGAATGTACTGTAAGTCCCCGTGGTCCCTAGTATGGTGATCTACCTTCAGTCATTGGCAACCTATAGCCTGTCTTTATATTGTATTGTCATGTATAGTTAAACTATTTTAGATTTAATTACTAGTTTTATATTTATATCTGTGATAATGTAGTTGTTTTGCTGTCCTTCGATGACAGAATTTTATAATTTACCTTTAATTGTTAATATATTTTTCACTTGATTTAGTCACGATATGGCTGAAATATTGCCGATGTGACTTAAAATCTTACTCACTCATAAATACATCACATTGCTTTGTTGTTCGTTGGTTTCACACCAATTTCTTTTACCGGCGGTTTCCCGGTTAACGATTTGTTTCAACTTGGGAAAATGTTAAAATACTCTGAATAAATGCTATATAAAAAGCATACCATAGCCATACCAGGCACCAAGGTCGAGATCTGGGTATTAACGGTGCTGGCAATCAATGTCAGGCACATGTCCAAAACATCATTAGGAAGACAAGAATGGCGATGGAATTACAAGCACCACACCATTTTCTGTAACTCGATAGTGTTTCATTATATTATCCCATGTGACATTAGGCTATTGTCGTAAGCCTTTTGGGGAACTCCCAATTACATCTTCACGCACAAACATGTACGTCATTAGTGAGAGCATATCCGTGGAACTGTGAATGGCGTGGAATCCGGTAAGTTTATTTGCTATATGGATATATGATCACGAAACCTTATACAGTCAAATCCCGATGAGTCGAATCTCTGGGGACCAAGTAATAAATTCGACTTATCGATGTATTCGAGACATAGGTATGTCTATGAGATTAGAAAAAAAATGATGACAACTATAACAGGGAATGGTCGGGACCGACAGGTACTTCGAGTTATGCATAATATTCGAGACACCGGCATTCGACTCATCGGGATTTGACTGTAGTTACAAGAAAGGGTGATTCTTTGCTATGAAGATCATTCACAACTATTAATGTCTGTCTGTGTCGCGGAACTCCGCAAGGACTACTCCAACCAACATAAGATTTAGGTGCGCGAAAGACGCGTTTGTGAAAGGAGAGGACGGAGCGTGCCGTGAACTGATCCACTACCCACTCGAAGGGGGAACAGGTGTGAAAACTTCGCGCAGGTGATTTGTGTGATCCTTGCAGTAATCACTTTCTAGGCAATGATTCGGCAGCGTTGTGTTTCTGCTCGAGCATTTGTATACTAGTATCTTGTAAAGTGGACTGTTAAAAGAGTATAAACTCTGCAGGTATTTGAAACTTATCAAGTCGCACTCTAAACTGGGTAAACGGGGTCAAGTCATTCATTCACAAACACGTGAGGTTGCCTACAATGTCATTCAGTACATGTGTACTATTTCCGACAGCACAAACAGTGCACTCAAAAAAAGCCAGCGATGCTACTGGTATATCTGTCAGTACCTTGCGCAAAATAAATGACGAAGGTAAATGCGTTCCCACGATGGGTACCAGTAAGTTCACAAGCCCAGGGAAAGTGCGTACTCGTACGGAAGGGAAAATTGAATTTGATGATTTTGATAAATGCGCAATTCGCCAGTATATTCAACACTGCTACACAGTAACCAAGACTATGCCAACACTGACAAGCATTATGAAAATGGCTACTGATGATTTGGGATATACAGGGAGTAAAGAAACAATGCGTAAATGTTTAAGAAAAATTGGTTTCAAAAGGCGGAAAACTCGTTCAGACAGACAGGTCCTGATGGAGTGACATTGTTATTTCATTCCCCTCGAGGACAGCACAAAGGTATTATCCATAACATATTCACACACACAGAACCTAGGCTAGGACAGAAATTAACCTTTTGGTATATTTTTTTTATCGTTAAACACAAAAATAATTCGAGTGTTGTATTGGGTTGTGTATGGAAATCATCAACCGCAAAATAGCAAATAGAACCCGTTCCAGAAGAGCGAGTGTAGACTGACACGCTACACAGCAGTTTATGGCTTTACATACCCTCGGCCCCTTAATGGCAAAATGGACTGCACCGCTATTCAGATTCACCGGTTCAAATGACAGGACGGCATTATTCTTAGGTTCGTCTCACAGTACATCGGAGTTTGTCTTGTGTTCACATCTAACGACAAAATCATTAATAAGTGTAACAACTCGTTTTGACCACAGGAGTGTGTTCGTTTCTTAGACAATACCTAGTACCTACAACGTTCAACGTTGGGACATCTTACTATCAGAACGATGGAGGAGTGTAACAGTACATTTATCGTGGGATATATCCCCATATATATAGCTGAATCAGTATGTGTGGTTAACGCAGTCTTTCTCATTTTGCTGATCGGCTTGACTCCCTCACTCAAGGGGTTCTCAGGCGTCTTGCTACTGAACGAACAAGTAGCCTGTTTAATACAACGAATCTCAACTGGGATTTTTTTCTACACCATGAGGACAACACGAAGTAGAACCATTAATGAAACAATGCAGGTTATCAAGGAATCAGCTCATTCTGTAAGCATATGTCTCCTGTTTGTCATCAACGTCAATCTGTATCTGGCTGTGTGCAAGGGCACTTCCTACAAGACACTCGTCACATGGAAAAGGGTTGTTGTCATTATAACAGCAACTTGGATAGTGTGCTTTGTTTGGGGATTTCTGCCCTTGTCCTATGACTATTTTGTGTTGGACTGTGATATAATCTTTTTGGTACCCAATCCGAATGTTGCAACAAGATGGCGGACAGTGGGGTACCTTCTAGAAAGTAGTTTTATCATAACTGGGAGTATAGTTATACTGTTGAAGGTCCGCTTTCACAGAAATAGAGTGCAACCAGATTACACTCTCAGAAGTATGTCTGCTACACGAAACAAAATGAAGTTGATGAAACTGACCTTTGTAGTGGTCATAATTCAAGCTATAACCTTCACTTGCACTCAGCTGTTTGTCAGTCTTTCAAATTCAAATGCAGCGCTCAACGTTATAAACTTATTGGCCCCTTTCTCGTTTGTGCTGGACAAAATTTATAATTGTTTCCGCTTGTGTTTCTATCTGTCTCTCTACACACCGTTGTGGGAGACCACCAAATCCCTCCTGTCCTGTGCGAGGAGGAACGTAACCCCAAACAACAATGCCGCCAGTTCTACGTGCAAGGGACGCACACAGCAAGAAGAGAATGGACGTATGTCGGGATGCACCCGAAAACGTGTCCATACTTCTGGAAACACATCCAACAACGTCATGACGCCAGTCGATACCTCAGGAAACACATCCAACAACGTCATGACGTCAGTCGATACCTCGTCAGACGATACCTCAGGAAACACATCCAACAACGTCATGACGTCAGTCCACGCCACAGAGAACACTATAAACGATATCATGACGTCAGTCCAGGCCACGGAGAACACTACAGACAACGTCATGACGTCAGTCCAGGCCACAGAGAACACTACAAACAACGTCATGACGTCAGTCCAGGCCACGGAGAACACTACAAACAACGTCATGACGTCAGCCCAGGCCACAGAGAACACTACAAACAACGTCATGACGTCAGCCCCCACAGAGAACACTAGGCCACAGAGAACACTACAAACAACGTCATGACGTCAGTCCAGGCCACAGAGAACACTACAAACAACGTCATGACGTCAGCCCAGGCCACAGAGAACACTACAAACAACGTCATGACGTCAGCCCAGGCCACAGAGAACACTACAAACAACGTCATGACGTCAATCCAGGCCACGGAGAACACTACAAACAACGTCATGACGTCAATCCAGGCCACAGAGAACACTACAAACAACGTCATGACGTCAGTCCAGGCCACAGAGAACACTACAAACAACGTCATGACGTCAGCCCAGGCCACGGAGACGTCACAGGCTACAAACAACGTCATGACGTCAATCCAGGCCACGGAGAACACTACAAACAACGTCATGACGTCAATCCAGGCCACAGAGAACACTACAAACAACGTCATGACGTCAATCCAGGCCACGGAGAACACTACAAACAACGTCATGACGTCAATCCAGGCCACGGAGAACACTACAAACAACGTCATGACGTCAATCCAGGCCACAGAGAACACTACAAACAACGTCATGACGTCAGCCCAGGCCACGGAGAACACTACAAACAACGTCATGACGTCAATCCAGGCCACGGAGAACACTACAAACAACGTCATGACGTCAATCCAGGCCACGGAGAACACTACAAACAACGTCATGACGTCAATCCAGGCCACAGAGAACACTACAAACAACGTCATGACGTCAATCCAGGCCACGGAGAACACTACAAACAACGTCATGACGTCAGCCCAGGCCAGGGAGAACACTACAAACAACGTCATGACGTCAGCCCAGGCCACAGAGAACACTACAAACAACGTCATGACGTCAGTCCAGGCCACAGAGAACACTACAAACAACGTCATGACGTCAATCCAGGCCACGGAGAACACTACAAACAACATCATGACGTCAATCCAGGCCACAGAAAATACTGAAAACAACAACATGACGTCAGTCCAGGCCACGGAGAACACTGAAAACAACGTTCTGACGTCAGTCCAGGCCACGGAGAACACTACAAACAACGTCATAGCGTCAGCCCAGGCCACGGATAACACTGAAAACAACATCATGACGTCAGTCCAAGTAAGAAATGCCTTTTTCTGTGCCTTTAATACAGTGTGATGTATTCCCCTATAGCCGGCAGAACTGCCACTGGCACACGCTAGATTGACAGGATCAAAATAGGACAATGCCCCTACCAAGTTCCCAGTCGACGATAAATTTTGGTTTAATGATAGCTTGTTTATCGGTCTATGTATGTTGTATTTGAATGGATATGCTTTAGTAATGACACGTCAACAGAAAATAACTGTTGCTAATCAAAATGTTGAGGTTGTCAAAGAGATGAGAGAGCAAATGTAAACTGTGATAATCTCAATCATAATAAATGTAAAGGCGCATATTGTTTACCTATGATTCATAAACACGTGTCCATGAAACAGCGGTATTTGTACAATTATCATTAGCAGATATTTCTCGTAAACACGTAAGGGTTGTGTCGCTTGTATGCATTAAAACTTGTATTGGATTTATGGAACATTTGCTATCAATGTCATACACCGGTCGTTTCATGTTAATTACTCAAGTCATGGCGAGGACGTTTATGCTGAGCTTGGACATTTGACATCCCTAAATTAGTTCGAGACAACCGAGAATTTGTCACATATAGTTCGAGAAACTCAATTATGAATGATACTAAATAAAGAGGAAATTTGCGTGAACTGGATTGTGATCACATGAGACGGATAGAAGGGGTAATTCGGCACATCCAATGTTGACGGATAAAGGTGCGCCTGAAGATGGGTTAAAGTGGTTTGATGTTTACATACTGATAACTGCATACAAATAGCTGAATGAGATAATGTTTGGAATTGGGCCAGTGATATCAAGCATTTTTATCACTTTTGTATACCGTAACATACGGCTGAACAAACCTTGGACAAAACGTTTCTTCACTCATTTCGAACAATTGGTTTATGAGATTTAAATTTTCACAAAAACAAAAACAAACCTATCCCAAAATAGCTTAGTAGGAGAAAAACGAAAGACATAAGCATTTATATATTACGGTGAATGAATTTGAATTATTTCTATTGAGTTTAAATATAGGGTTTCGTTAATGCTGAAATGTCCAGTATATCTGAAAATGAAAAAAAAGCCACGTTATGATATGAACACATTTACGGAACTGAGGAAGGCGTTTGTATATTGTCAGTATAGACTGACTGACTGAGTTTGGTTTTACGCCGCTTTTAGCAATATTCGAGCAACATCACGGCGGGGGACACCAGAAATGGGCTTCACACATTGTGCCCATGTGGGGATTCGAACCCGGGTCTTCGGCTTGACGAGCCAACGCTTTAACCATTAGGCTACCCCACCGCCCCTGTCAGTATAGATGAGTACATAATAAGTGTCTGTTTTAAAACCTGTAATATATACTTTCGCTTTGCTATATATTACCCAATATAGATGTTGGTACAGATATTGATATATATATATAGATATTGATGTTGAGTTGTTTTGTTTTTATGAAAATTCACATCTCATAAAACAATTGTACGAAATGAGTGAAGAGACGTTTTGTCCAAGGTTTGTTCAGCCGTATGTCAGGGTACAGAATAATGACTAAATGCTGGCCCAATTCCAATTGGGTAAATATTGAATATTTTGAGATATTTCATATGGTACTGTTTGTAAAGAAAGTGTAGACAATGGGGGTGCGAGACCACTATCTATAGTTAAGGCCTTTCACTCCAAGTCTACCGACGATCGTTAATTTGAGTGTGCTGTAGTGTAATGATTGTTCCCATTGTTGTACTATTGAAATCAGGCATACCAGCGTTGACTGTGAGTGTGCGGTAGTGTATTCATTGTTCACATTATTGTACTATTGAAATCAGTCATACCAGCGTAGACTTTGAGTGTGCAGTTGTGTATTGATTGTTCACACTGTTGTACTATTGAAATCAGGCACACCAGCGTAGACTGTGAGTGTGCTGTAGTGTAATGATTGTTCCCATTGTTGAACTATTGAAATCAGGCATACCAGCGTTGACTTTGAGTGTGCAGTTGTGTATTGATTGTTCACATTGTTGTACTACTGAAATCAGGCACACCAGCGTAGACTGTGAGTGTGCTGTAGTGTAATGATTGTTCCCATTGTTGAACTATTGAAATCAGGCATACCAGCGTTGACTTTGAGTGTGCAGTTGTGTATTGATTGTTCCCATTGTTGTACTACTGAAATCAGGTATACCAGCGTAGACTGTGAGTGTGCTGTAGTGTAATGATTGTTCCCATTGTTGAACTATTGAAATCAGGCATACCAGCGTTGACTTTGAGTGTGCAGTTGTGTATTGATTGTTCCCATTGTTGTACTATTGAAATCAGGTATACCAGCGTAGACTGTGAGTGTGCTGTAGTGTAATGATTGTTCCCATTGTTGTACTACTGAAATCAGGTATACCAGCGTAGACTTTGAGTGTGCTGTAGTGTAATGATTGTTCCCATTGTTGTACTATTGAAATCAGGCATACCAGCGTAGACTTTGATTGTGTGCTATTGAAATAGTGCGTAGAATGATTGTAGTTTGTTCCCATTGTTGTACTATTCAAATCAGGCATATCAGCGTAGACTTTGAGTGTACTGTAGTGTATTGATTATTCACACTGTTGTACTATTGAAATCAGGCATACCAGCATTGACTTTGAGTGTGTTGTAGTGTATTGATTGTTCGCATTGTTGTACTATTGAAATCAGGCATACCAGCATTGACTTTGAGTGTGTTGTAGTGTATTGATAGTTTACACTGTTGTACTATTGAAATCAGTCATACCAGCATTGACTTTGAGTGTGTTGTAGTGTATTGATAGTCCACACTGTTGTACTATTGAAATCAGGCATACCAGCATTGACTTTGAGTGTGTTGTAGTGTATTGATAGTTCACACTGTTGTACTATTGAAATCAGGCATACCAGCATTGACTTTGAGTGTGTTGTAGTGTATTGATTGTTCACACTGTTGTACTATTGAAATCAGGCATACCAGCATTGACTTTGAGTGTGTTGTAGTGTATTGATTGTTCACACTGTTGTACTATTGAAATCAGGTATACCAGCGTAGACTTTGAGTGTGCAGTAGTGTATTCATTGTTTACATTATTGTACTATTGAAATCAGGTATACCAGCGTTGGCTTTGAGTGTGCAGTAATATATTGATTGTTCACACTGTTGTACTACTGAAATCAGGTATACCAGCGTTGACTTTGAGTGTGCAGTAGTGTACTGATTGTTCACACTGTTGTACTACTGAAATCAGGTATACGAGCGTTGACTTTGAGTGTGCAGTTGTGTATTGATTGTTCACACTGTTGTACTATTGAAATCAGGTATACCAGCGTAGACTTTGAGTGTGCAGTAGTGTAATGATTGTTCACATTGTTGTACTATTGAAATCAGGTATACCAGCATAGACTTTGAGTGTGCAGTAGTGTATTGATTGTTCACATTGTTGTACTATTGAAATCAGGTATACGAGCGTAGACTTTGCGTGTGCAGTTGTGTAATGATTGTTCACACTGTTGTACTATTGAAATCAAGTATACCAGCGTAGACTTTGAGTGTGCAGTTGTGTAATGATTGTTCACACTGTTGTACTATTGAAATCAAGTATACCAGCGTAGACTTTGAGTGTGCAGTTGTGTAATGATTGTTCACACTGTTGTACTATTGAAATCAGGTATACCAGCGTTGACTTTGAGTGTGCAGTAGTGTAATGATTGTTCACATTGTTGTACTAAAGAGATCATGCATACTGACGATGCTCAGAATGAGATTGCTAGTGTACTTATTGTACTGCTACTGAGATCGTTCACAAGCTTGTACCATTCAGATACAGTTATACTATTCAGATCATGCATGCAAGCGCTGTTGAATTTGACTCTTTTACAGTGTACTGATTGTTTATTTCGTTGTATTATTCAGATCCTGCATACAAGCGCTGTTGAATTTGACTCTTTCGTAGTGTATTGATTGTTTATATCGTTGTATTATTCAGATCATGCATACAAGCGCTGTTGAATTTGACTCTTTCGTAGTGTATTGATTGTTTATATCGTTGTATTATTCAGATCATGCATACAAGCGCTGTTGAATTTGACTCTTTCGTAGTGTATTGATTGTTTATATCGTTGTATTATTCAGATCATGCATCATGCATACAAGCGCTGTTGAATTTGACTCTTTCGTAGTGTATTGATTGTTTATATCGTTGTATTATTCAGATCATGCATACAAGCGCTGTTGAATTTGACTCTTTCGTAGTGTATTGATTGTTTATATCGTTGTATTATTCAGATCATGCATACAAGCGCTGTTGAATTTGACTCTTTCGTAGTGTATTGATTGTTTATATCGTTGTATTATTCAGATCATGCATACAAGCGCTGTTGAATTTGACTCTTTCGTAGTGTATTGATTGTTTATATCGTTGTATTATTCAGATCATGCATACAAGCGCTGTTGAATTTGACTCTTTCGTAGTGTATTGATTGTTTATATCGTTGTATTATTCAGATCATGCATACAAGCGCTGTTGAATTTGACTCTTTCGTAGTGTATTGATTGTTTATATCGTTGTATTATTCAGATCATGCATACAAGCGCTGTTGAATTTGACTCTTTCGTAGTGTATTGATTGTTTATATCGTTGTATTATTCAGATCATGCATACAAGCGCTGTTGAATTTGACTCTTTCGTAGTGTATTGATTGTTTATATCGTTGTATTATTCAGATCATGCATACAAGCGCTGTTGAATTTGACTCTTTCGTAGTGTATTGATTGTTTATATCGTTGTATTATTCAGATCATGCATACAAGCGCTGTTGAATTTGACTCTTTCGTAGTGTATTGATTGTTTATATCGTTGTATTATTCAGATCATGCATACAAGCGCTGTTGAATTTGACTCTTTCGTAGTGTATTGATTGTTTATATCGTTGTATTATTCAGATCATGCATACAAGCGCTGTTGAATTTGACTCTTTCGTAGTGTATTGATTGTTTATATCGTTGTATTATTCAGATCATGCATACAAGCGCTGTTGAATTTGACTCT